GTAACTAAACTATTTTTTATATTTTTATGGAAAAAGTAGTGTAGAGTTACTTTTGAATAAACTGTGCTTATTTAAATGTTTGAAAATATGTATGTTGTGTGTTTTTAGTCTGTAATCATTACCGTGTTTTACAGAGCACTCTGCAGACTGTAAATAAAATTACGAGAAAATTGTTCAAGTCTTCTTGAGTGAATGTACCATTTAACGGGAAAAGTTTAATAAATTATTAAACAGTAGTTGCTAAGTTCATGCTTACTGCAAATCCGAGTGTAAGCGATACCGTAGTAGTTCTGGATGTGTGGGGAAGCCCTTTGGACTAGGGGATGTTCTTTATCGCGGGGTTTGGGCCATCTCAGCCGTTGCAGCGAGCCACACGTGCTGGCTGGAGCAGGCGTGGTGGCCAGCTTGCTGTCAGCCGCCCTCCCTTCGTGGGCACAGCTGGAAGAGGGGACGTCCCAGCTGTGAAGAATTTAGGCTTGAGTTTGGTTGGTCCTGGGCTGGGAATGACGGATGGCTGTGATGGGGAACGGGTGGTCGCTCAGAAGGGTCAGGACGGGGGTCAGGGCTCGGCTGCCTTTGCCATCCCGTGAAAACCACGCTGTACGTTCCTATCTGTAAAGCTGCTGGTGTTCTGTGTAGATGGTTTCGTCAGAAGGACGCCGCTTCCCACCAGTATGTTGCTTCTCCCCATTAAGTTGTGTCTGCCAAGAAAAGAGATGTTTGTTAGACAGCCACCAAGTACTAAAGCTCGTCATTAAATCCAGAGGGTTGGTCTCTTCGTAGGTCTGTTTACAGTTAGACAGATTGGGCCTGTTCACAAAGACAAAAGGAAATGCTTGTCTATGTTAGGTCCTGTCAGCAGGAGCTAAGATAAGGTGGCATAATTACAGATGATACTAAGGGGACCTTAATTTAATTTCTGATCTGCTGTTGGCTCGTGAGTGGAGATTCAAAGAGCTGGCTTGCTGCTTTCCCTGGACATCCAGTGTTGCCAAATGCTGATTAAGCTCGAGACCAACCATGAGTCGCTCTATACCCAGATTTAAAAAAAAAAAAAGCTACATTTCAGATATAATGTTTTTGTTGGTTTTTTTTAATTGGCCCTTCTGTTTAATTTGTCTCTACATATTCTTATTTTACAGAGTAAAACCCACCAGCCTCTCAAGAGCCTTACCAGTTCATCTTTCACTAGATCACACCCCGATTTCTTACTGGATGCTTTGATTCCAATTTTTCTTCAACAGGAAAGGTATTTCTTTAATTACTGTCTTTCAAAGCTCTAGGTTAAGTACAAAAGATCATTATTAAAAAAAAAAAAAAAATTAAAAACCAAAAACCAAGCCACTGGGTAGAAATGGTTATATTTACTAAGCAGTGACATGAGACCGGTGTAGCTCTGAACAGCCTCAGTTTTAATCCTTCCAATTACAAGTAAAGCTGCCATTGCTAATTGAAGGGAAGCAATTGATGCAGTCTAGTAGAAAAACAGCCTCGGGAAAAGGCATCACGTTTCAAGGAGAAACACTGCGAACCGATGGGAGAGCAGAAGGAAGGAGAGACAACCTGATCTTCTAGTCCGGGTCTTTATTAAATCAAACATCTGTCAGTCAGAAACAGTTTTTTTGGGTGTGCGCAATGGAATTGCATTATTCACTCTCTTGTGGCTTGATGCATTGATTTATTTTTTGAGGGAGGAGTCCTTAATAAATAGAACACTTGCTAGCAAATGGATTTGCTTTATAAAGAAACTGTTCAACATACCTTAACCCCCCTGGGTTTAACTTGCTTTGTGACATTATTTTTAACCAGGCAGTGAGCCATCAGTTGTGTCTGAGGCAGATCCACACAGCCTGATGTTGTTAATTGAGATATGTGTAAGGGGGGGTAATAAAAAATAATACCAGAATATGACTTTTGAGATTTGGTATATCCAATAAGTCACTAGCAGGACTTAATTTTAAAAACATCATTGGAACTGATAGGAACAGGGCATTTTTATTTTCTGTTCTTTACAATAGAGTGTTGCTTTGGCAAAGAGGTTGCCTGTGTCTTCCCCGTTCATGTAAAGGAGGGAGGTTTTAGGCGCATTTAAATTTCAGGTAGGTTGGGGTTCCACCCCAATTTGATCATGTTTTGTTGTGGTGTTGGTCATATTTCGGTGTCACAACCAACTTCAGATTTAACAGCCAGTTAAAATAGTCACGAACCGTTTCAGATTGGCTCTAGATTTAAAACTATTGCTGTGTCTTTTTACAGCGTTTTTGCAGGAAGGGTCTCTGCAATCATAGTATCAGAGGCTATATTTTTAAAGGATTTAGATACTGGAGTTTGCTACAGCTATGCTAAAATTAAAAAAAAAAAAAAAGGAAGGAGTTTTGCACCATTCTGCTGCACTTAAAAATTTCAAATAAATCATGAAGCGTTACTTTTTAAAATATGAATCCAAAGTAGAACTGTGTTCCGTCATGTTTCAAAATCAGTTTATGTGGACAATGTTGTTGTTTAAATTAAAAATATGTAGTATAGTTGTAAGTGTTTTAAAAGCTATCCTCTTCCAGAGATTGTTTTTAAAGCCGATTTTGGAAGTTTTGGTAACGCTGCCAGTGCGATGGGGTGGTTGATGTAGGGTTTCCACTGAAGCGACGTGTGCTTCCGTGGGTCAAGCGGCACCCTGAACGCTCTGACCTGCCGGTTTAGGTCAAAAAGGGGCAACGCGACACTCGGCTGAGATGAAAAAAACGAATTATAAAGCGAAGCCGTGAGCGGCACGAGAAGGTTGGAGCGGCTTGAAGAAACAAATCGGCCCGTGAGGCGGGAGCTGGCGTCGGGGGGTGGCTGGGGCTCGGGGGCGCTTGTAGGAGCAGGCAGAGCCGCTGAAATAATTGTGTAGAGAAACTGAGTTCAGGTTGTGCGTGTCCGAGCGGAGCGGGAACGGCCTTGAGCCTGCCCTGGAAGGAGGGGGAGCTGACTACTGACGGCGGCTTGACGCGGTGAATTCATTCTTGCGCCTCGCGTCGCAG